AAAATCAACTGACGTTAAGGTTTTGTATCCATGCCAATGGCCATAGTCCCAATAGTACGCTTTGTCTTTTGATTCATCTCGCTGATAAACAAAAAACTTGGGACCTTCTTGCGAAATAGTTCTATAATATTCGATATTGTTCTCTTGACAAGTTTGAATATTATCATCTGGAAATTCTTCCTGCAACGCTTCTAGAGTTGTTAAACATCCTGTAGCTATTACCGTTGCATTAAATGTTCGGCCAGTATATCGTATAATGCATAATTTCTCGTTAGTTATAGGAACTCCGAGACGACGATCTATATCATTATTTCCTGTGGCCATTCACACTTTGAATTAGTAAGAAATTGTATCAAATTAGTTTTATTCTAAAATCAAAAAAAGAAAATACTACTATATAATATTAAAAAAAGAATCCATGATGTTCTTTCACATAAACAACACAGGAATCTTTGTTTTTAACCTTGACAATCGGAAATTTCCAACTTACTATTTATCCTATATGCATATATTGACACGATAGCATTATAAATGTTATAATTTTTCCCTGTGATAAATTGGTCAAAAAAATTTTTCTCTTTCTTTCATGTAGAGATACCTTAGCATAGTAAAGTAGCATTCCTAAACGGGTAATAGCAGTGCTGATATGTTTCATATCTCTTATTTTTAATTTACTTTTCTATATAGAAGATGTGTACTTTGCCTATAACGTATGTTTTGATAAATGTGCGTCACTATGACGAGGAAGTAAGCACAAAGGTAATTTTGAGAAAAAAAAAATGCTTATCTCTCTTTGATTTCAGGGTATTTTGGAAGAACGCAATATCATTTTCCAACTTAAACTTACATCGAACCACGCAAATGCGAATAAACTACTGTTTTTACACACAAACAATGACACATTGAGATGGCATCTATCAGTATTCTTGTGACCGAGTTTTGAGAGCGAAAAGTAATTGAGTGAAAAAACCCAGTTAAGAAAGAACAGGAACATAGTAGGTGCACACATAATACAGCATTGGTCCTTTATTCGCTCTGTCATTTTCCGAATCTGTAACCAGTCGTGGCAGGTGACTTCAATTCAGCCATACAAATGTGTGTTTGCACATTACATAAGTAATAACAACTGCTACATACGAAAGAGCATGTGAGCCAACCAGTTATATTGAAGACGGAATCGCACAGACTCATTCTACATTCACTAACATACACTTGTATGCACGGACGAAAAAAGGCAAGAACAGTTGCATTGCATCAGCAAACAAACTAGTCAATGATGACAAGCGAATACATCTACCTATTATGTATAAAATGTATAGAAGAGTAGTAAACACATTATTATCCTCTCATAACACACGGCATTTGGCCGTTGCTCGTCATGGTGTCGTCGTTACTAATTCAACATCATTTTTAACAGTGTGATTTTCGTGCTTCGATAATTGTAGAAAAGTTTGAGCCATTAACATAATGGAATCAACTGACTTTGAATCATGACTCATGCCATCATTTTGTTGCGAGTTAAACGTTCATGTGCTGTCCCGTGATATGAGATTAGTAAGAAAGCCAAGAGAAAATCGAAGAAGCTTCCTAAATCCTATTCCCTATAATACATTATCTTAAGAATACATAGGTAAATTTTTTTCCCTATTGAGCAAAATTTGTTAATTCGCAAAAAAGAAGAAGAAAGGCAAAATGATATGGATGCCAAATATGAAATCAATCGAGTTTCTGCTTGAGAGTCTCGAGCGGGATTTGTGTATGTTCATCAATCAAGAATAAAACTGAATCTTTTCTGTATGACTACTTAAATCTGATTCATTGTTTTTCTCTAAAAATCATACTCGAGTTCATGAAGTCAATGAATAATAAGATAATCGAAAATTTCTATATGTTATAGGAGAGATTTATTTAAAAAGTGTACCAGCGTCTAACACTGTTCAGAAGGATGCGGATGTATCTCCACTCTAACTTCTACTCACACTCTATTTGTATGGAATGTTTCGAGTCTGCCGATGATTAATACTTACTTTAATTTATCTTTAACTTGTACTATGAAGTTTATTATGTATGCATACAATCTATAAGACCGATGACCTCGAGTCAGTCGACATCGGCAAGAGAGAGTGTGCGATATTTTTAGGTAAAGTTAAACATTTTTTCTAACAGAATACAAGAAAATTCCCATTATTAAGAGGCTATTACATTGTTCGATCGGGCTATCATTGAGTCCATATTGTGATCTTAATCCGTTTGTATTTGTTGAAGATGAGTGTGTTGGTGTGGATGTTCTACCTTTATCGACAGCACACCCACAACCACACTCTAATGAATAGTCCACAAATACTAGAAATATTTAATTAGAAATAAAAAAATGTGTTCGCTTTTAGCGAAAATAAGAAGTTATCACTATATGAATACAGAAGCAATTGAACAAGAGATAGAAAAATCAGTCTAAGAATCGATAAACAACATGTTTCATTTCATGGCAACAAAAAAATAGTATTTGCAATTTATATCTTAACGATGATCTTAGAAAAACCAAGTTCTAATTGGCTCTCACTTTCAAGGTAGAATCAGCAGGATCAGTCCTGATCAACAGGAAATCTTCAGATGCATATGCGATCAGGCCCAATTTCTGGGCTTATCCAATCAATTTAACAGTCTATTTCACTTATAAAATAGATAGTCATTTTTGTTTGTCTGGTAAGTCGTTGAATACTGACTGAACGAAATTTCAAAAAGGGATTTTCTTGAAAATATTGTTAGTTCAATCCCGACGAGGATAAAATGTGAAATTTGATGAATATGTATTTATTGTAAACCAAGGTTTTCTACAACTTATGGTTCAGTTTGTGACTTCCAACGTACTGATATGTCCGTCATGGAAGATGTTATTCGAGATATGTAAGTTACAGTAAATTTAGAAAGGAAAGCAAAGACAAGTATTTTAAATTCAATTTTCTTTCATAATACCATAGTCTATGGGAGAGGAAATATGTCAGAATTTTTATCCCTGTATTTTAATTCTGTATTTAAACTTACATATATTTTTTAAAGAGAAGTAAAAAATTTACATTATTCTCATTTCTTGAAAATTATAACTTGATTTAAAAAAAACAGTACACAACAGTTGACTTTATCGTATGAATAAATCTTTAGTAAAATAAAATCGTGTTCAAAATGAGGTGAATAATTACAAAGCTTTTAATCCTAGTTAATTTGACATTCTATCCTATATTTCAATAAAATTTGATTTGTTTAATTTTTGTCTTTCTTTATCTATTTAAAAAAAAACAAATCTTAAGTGATAAAACTTCATTAATTGTTCCAAAGAAACTAAAATCAATTTTTTTCCAGCTAAAAAATAAGATTTTAATAGATTTTTACTCAAAAAAAGTATCGATTTTATTCTAATTTTTTATCAAAAATTTTTCTTTGCATAGGTTTTGCATCCCATAACTGATAACAATCACGGATCTTTATTATACACACAAGGCACAATGTACTATCAGCTACAAAAGTAGCATGAATGTTACTGAAGTGGGACAATATTAGATGTGTACTAAAATTAACAGTATAACTAAGAATAGTAACCGATCTGATTCTTTGAAATTGATTGACGGATATTTTACCCGTGAAAACTTTTCTTTCATAAATATAAAAAGTATTCTCTTTATAAGTAATGTACTAATTAATTGAATTGATGTTTCACAATTAATACAGTTGATACTTTTTTCAAAAATCTTTTGATTTCGATCGATCGATCGATTGAACAATATGTATCTTTTTGGTCTACATTGACAGATAAAGATAAAATTTAATTCTGGCAAACAGTAAATATGCTTTGGAATTCTATCCAGATGTCATCTAGTTTTTATGTAGTATCAACGAAAATAGTGTATTCGATAGAAGTTTTCTTTTTCAAAAATACTTCATATCTGTTTTGTATTTCAATGCATTTGAATTGAAAGATTTTTCGAATTATAGCAAAAATTTTCATTTATCTAAAACTTATGTACATGAATTCGTTTTGAGTTTTGATTGTTTTAACATTTCATCATATATTTAAAATAGAATCATACTCAAAATTCTCAAAGAATCATAATAGTTCGATACTTCAAGTAAGATCTTTTTCATTTCACTTGAAAAGGTTTCAAACAACTACCTGTCATGCTCTACCTAAGACTGAATAATTTTTATTCAAAAATTTATAGTAGATCGATTTGACTCTTTAAATGAATGTGTTGTTTGAAATATAACCATTTTTATGTCCATTTTTTTTTATTTTTTAAATCCATGGGCATTAAGCTTGTGTCGCTACTGGTCAGAAAAAGAAGAAACACTAATTGAATGATGGTAAACTATGGATTCATAATTTGATTGATATGCGATTTCTATATGAAATGAGAAATATTTCTTCAGTTTACATATTTAGATCATTTCCTTCAATCACGAAAAATGATATGTATGAATGATTGGTAACTATTTTTTTGTCTGTTGTTATTCTCATAACGATATCTATTGATTTCAAGGTAAGTAATCTATTTGGAGGTCATAAAACAATATAGATGTATTTGTTTTTTTTCTTTCTTATTAGTTCGAGACGATCGATATGTGCAATAGAATAGAAGTTTAATAAAATTTCATGCTACTATTTTATCGATTATTTATTATATCTTGTTATATTGTATATTGTTTAACACAATTTAATTCTTCAAATAATCTCTGTTTAAATGGACCTAATTTTTGGTGTTTAAATGATACAACTGAATTATTATGTAATTTTACTAATAAAACTATTGGTCTATGTGGATATACAAGTAAACGATGTCAAATAAAAACTGGTAAAAAAGAAATTTTTTTTTTCTATATGAAAAAAAATAGTTTTTTTTAAGGTGATAGTTTTTGTAAATCATCTCCACCGGCTCAAGAACAATCGCCATTTGAATTTAATGGTGGTTTAACTGGAGTTGATGATAATTTATTTTCATATTATATTCTTAGTCTTTATTGGCCACCATCTAGTTGTCCACCAATATATAATGAAACAATTGATTTATTACATTATTTTTGTTCATCATATACAGATATTAATCAACCTGGTAGTGAACGTTTAGCATTACATGGTCTTTGGCCAACATTTTCAACAAATGGAAATTATCAAGGTTGGCCACAATTTTGTTTATCAAATCAAAATGATTGGTCAAAATGTCATATCAATGGAAATTTATGTCCATGGACAAATACAACAAAAGATAATTTTACACAAGTTGATTATGAATATTGTTTATCAATGGAAAATAGACAAGAATGTCTTATTAATGCTACAGATATTCTCTTACCAGAACAAGAACGTTTAAAAATATTAGCACCAGGATATTTAGGTATAAGAAATTTATTTATTAATCATGAATGGACTAAACATGGTAGATGATTTTAAAATAAATTTACAAAAATAATTAGTATTTGTCATAGGTTCATGTTGTTCATTAATATTTGGATATAATATTTCCTATTATCTGGCTTATATGCTTAATTTAGTTGATATGGCAACACGACCAGGAAGTTTAACTTATGAAGTATGATGATTTTCTGTAAACGTATATTGTATTTATAGCATATATATTTTTTTTATATAATTATTATAATATCTATTACTTAGGTTTAACCAAAAGTTCTAAGAACATTAAAGAGTAATATAAAGATTTGAAGATATTTTTAATTTTCTTTTATCAAATGTTGAGAATAGTTGTCATAATTAATTGTATCAAGTTCAATCCTTTCGACACAATTTACGAAAAGTTTTTTTTTGACTTCTTTTTCCTAAAAAGATTTTAGCTATCTTGGAAACCATACGAACTAATTATATTTCATTTGTTTTAAAAATTTAATAGAATTTTGTTCTTGAATGTCAGCTGCATTTTAGCACTACTAGTGGTGTGATATTGATTTATTTTAGATAGGTTAGTCATAAACTATCTAATGTTAACTGACTTATTGAAGATGAATTGACAAAGATTGTGGTTCATCAAGACAGATTTTAACCAAAACTTTGTTTAGTATATTCTTTAAATCAAATCAGCCTGGATGTAGATAAAGGCAAGACTGTAGATCACAATTATTACATTGAAAATTGTCCGAACCCTGTTAATGAAGTATAAAAACAAACACGGACATTGGATTCAAAATGTACGAAATTGTTTGACGATCATCGTTGACTTCATATCCATCCAATGTTATTAATTCTATGATTGAAGAAGGCATCAATATAATATCATACCCAACATATTTATCAGGTCTGATAGCATATAATTTTTGGCTAACTAATTCTATTGAATGTAGTTTAAGTGATTAAATAAATGAAATATAATTAGTTCATGTGTTTTCTAAGGTAGTTAAAATTTTTCTTAGAAAAAGAGGTCAAAAAAACTTTTAGTAGATTGTATCGAAAGGATTGAACTTGATACAAATAATTATGGCAATTATTCTCAACATTTTATAAAAGAAAATTAAAAATATCTTCAAATCTTTATATTACTCTTTAATTTTGTTAGAACTTTTGGTTAGACCTAAGTAGTTTTTTCTGATTTCTAATCTATAAATTAGATTGTAAAAACTTGCCTTATCATAATTCAACGATGAGAATTGATTCTTTTGAACTATAATTTTTTATCAATTTAGTTATAATGTATTGTATATTGTTAACAGATAGATTCAATAATAATAAGTAAATTTATTACAAATAAATGCGACTTATCTCATTACAGAACGACATATTGATATGTCTCATATTAAAATGTTGATGTAGGTCAAAGTTTTAAGTTTCAAATATATGTATCAATGATAGATACTTTAGGAAGATATATGACGGTAAATAATGACTAAATAGTAATGACAAATGATATTTTTCTGCTAAAACGTCATTTTCTATTAGTAATTAAGAAAGCATTTTATCGTGTTAACTATGATTGTCATATTTCAATGCTGTCTATGACAGCAAAAACTCATCAAAATAATACATTTTCTAGGACAAATTTTTCACATATTAACATGACTGTTATCTTTCTTTTAGTACATCCAACGTTATGCTGGTGAAAAAGTTGGCATTAATTATTTAATTGCTGCTCTTAATCAAACAGCAATTATTAATTGTAATTCTAAATGTGAACTTGAAGAAGTTTGGATGTGTATGCATCGAGATCGTCATACTGGTTTACCAAATCGATTCGTTACATGTCCACCGGGTGCTCGTAATACCAGTGATTCATGTAAAAAAGCTCAATGTGAATATGTATTTATACCATTGAGAAATCAATATAGACAAATTTCTACCGATAATTATTATTTTCCTCCACTATGGACAACTTTATTGTCAATTATTTTTCTATTAATTCTATTGAAATATCTTATATTAGGTTTTGGTACTTGTTATCAACTTCTATAAATCATTTGTTGAATAAAATTCATATTCTCTTTTGGGAAGATTTTATTTATTAGAAGTAATGTGGAGAAGAAAAAAAAACAAGAGTCTTGTACATATGAGATATTTAAGGGTTAACAGATATCTCAAAGGAGAAAATAAAAAAATAAAAATTTGAATTCAATAGTTATTTTTCTAATGCAGCTTGTCGTAATACATTTACATCATCTGTTGTAATTTCAACAAGTTGTTTAATTTGTTGTGGTTCATTAAGTAATGCTAAATATAATTGACCAGCTTGTAGATGTTTTGGTTCGGGTGCTGGGATTAATTTATGTGTTTTAGGATCAGTTATTTGACCACTACTACCTATTTGCATATAATGAAAATGAGGCTCATCATTTTTGATAGGTGCACCACGTATTTGTTCATATTTGTCAAATTCAAGTGTATAATGAGTTGTTGGTGTTGATGATCTTGTTGACATACCTGTGCATATGAAATAAATTAATTCACATATAAATATATCAAACAAAATACAAACCTTTAGCATAATCAGTTAAAGTACCAATAAATGCTAGATCAGAAAGTGCTAATAATTTAAGAGCTTCATTTCGACCAGTAAGAATACCCATAATTGATTTGTTTAGATCTTAAAAAACAAAAGTTTGAATTTAATCTATAATTTGAATTCTTTTTTGCTAAATGATTGAATATTATCTATGCATTTTTTTCCCAATATGAATTAAAAAGAATATCACCTCGAGGTTAAATAAATGTTCAGGAACCGTAAATATACCAATGGACGATCACAGATTACCTTATACAACGTAGGAAAGATGTGTACGTCTTTTTTACAACTATGACATATAATGAAGAAAAAGTCATGTTAACTTACTGCTTGAATGAGAGAATGTTGTTCTGTCCTTGTCTCTAAGTCGGTTATGATATCGTATGTCAAAACCAAAAAAATGTTGAGCAGAAATAGACAGAGAGAGAGAGTTATTAAGAAAATGGATTCGACTGATGAAGGACTTTCGATACATTCTTATCTAACATAATTTTCTTACTAGAACACGTCTCTTGATTACAAACTAGTCAAAGTATATGGAAAGCACAGTTGGATACATCATTACAAATACTACCGGGTGTGTATGTTTATTTATCCAGATAAGATAAAAAGAAGATAGTCACCGTGTATAATAGTGTTATCGGTATAATTACGCCTATACAGAGATCAAACTAGTAATGTCAAACCTATTAGAAAATGCCCTAAAGATTGTAAATATATATATATATATATATAAATGTTTCTATGCGATGGACTTCGTCATCAATAAGAACGACTAATCATAAAATGCTTAACAAATTACATGTCATTTGTCAATAATAATACTACATATGCAGTATCTCATGCATTCATGTTTACACTACATTATTATTTTTTTCTGTTTCTTATTTCATACACACGTGTATTAGAAAAAAGAACATCTGTGAATAAAAATATTAAAAAAAAAAACAAATTCAATTAGTCTAATTTATTTCGAAAGTTCTGATGATTTATTTGTATAATGATATTGAACATAAGGTATTTTAAGTATAAGTTTATCAATAGCAGCACGTGATATATTTGGACATTCAATAAGAATAATACGTTTAAGATAATGAGAATTTCGTCGTAAATATTTTAAACCTTTATCTGTTATTAATTGACAATAAGATATATCAATTTCATATAAATATTTACAAACACCACTTAAATATTGTAAACTCATATCAGTTAATAATGAACATGAACATATATTTAATGTTGTTAAATATTTACAACAAAATGCCATTGAACGTATAGCATTATCAGTTAATTGTGTACAAAATGATAAATTTAAATATTCAAGATTTGTACATGATGTTGCAAATTTTGTTAAACCTAAATCTGTTATTTGTCGACATGATGATAATGTTACTGAACGTAAATTACCAGAATTTCCTAATGATTTTAATGTTGTATCTGATGTTTGTGTACCAGTTATATCAATTGATATTAATTGATCAATTTGTCCAATTAATTCTAAACCATTTTCAGATATTTGATCTAAATAACATAATTTTAAATAAGCTAAACGTTTACAACGTCGTGATAAATTTGTCATTGAACCATCACTTATACGCATACAATTTGTTAAATTAAGTTCACGTAAACGTAATGTACATGGTCCATCTGTTAAAGCTTTTATACCTGTATCTGTTATTAATAAACAATCAGCCATATTTAATACACGTAATTGTTTTAATGAACTAATTCCTTTCATACAATTATCAGTTAATGTTGGACAATCAGTTATTGATAAATGACATATTTCAGTACATGAACGACATATAAGACGAAGATGCTAGAAATATAAACAACAAATAATAATAATCAAATCTTATTGTAGACATCAATCCGAAAATTAAAAAGATTTAAGGATACGTTCCACAGTATGCAGATGAATATATAACTTTCTTGCTCAGTAATGATTGGATATAATGCAGAAAAGCATAACATTTTTCGAGGAAATTTTTTTTCTTTAAAATTGTTACGTTATTTATCATTCTACGCCTTCCAAATATACTATTTTTGTTGATTAAATATTCTTCCTTTGTACTAACAGGAATTAGAGACCATAGATAGAAGAATATTCTGGCAAAATTTAGAATCCGGTGATTTTGGTTGCTCCATTCAAAAATTATGCGTTTTTTTTAGAGTATCTTCGATATTTTGACTTTTTTTATTCGGAGGACAAAAGATAAAAAGAAATTTAAAAAAATCCACCCCAAATAGTGTGTAGTGTATGTGACAAAAAGTTTCAACTTGATTGGTCGTACTAGACCAAAGAAATGGTCGCAATGATGTGTTTTTCTTTCTAAAAACTTGATTTAACAAAAAAAAAACACGATTCGTTATTTCCGTTGTGTAAATTTGATTTTTTAGTGTTGAAAGACAATTTTTGGATCTCAGCATGTACTCTGTAGATAGATACTATTTCAAACTATACAATGGCTACAAGAAGACAAATTCTATATATAATTTACAAGAAGACCTCTCCAATTGATACCTACTGTTTGCACTCATATTTTGGATGAAAACTCTAAAAGAGTTTCGCACTCTTAGTCCTATCTTCTCATGTTATCCTGAATTTTCAGCATATTACGAAAAATCAATCGCAATATGAAATTTTGAGGTCAAACAAATGTGCTCTTATTCTAGATAATACGTTGGCAAGAAAAAGCATAACTTTCTCACAAAATAGTTCATAGCTGGAACTTTCAGGATATAATAAGTTATATAAGATCTATTGTTGAAGAAAATCTCACACGCAAATTCCCTTATTACGATTTGTTTTTCGTAATATGCTGAAAACTCATTAGAATGATCATTACTTGAGAAGAACAGCCTAAGGATACGAACTCTTTTAGTATTTTCATTTATACTATAAGTCCTGCTTATGAAAAAAAAATATGAGCTCAAATAAAGGCTGCCAGTTGAAGAGGTTTTGTCTAATGATTATTTGAAAATCAAATAAATATAAATGAAAAATGATGAGGGTGTGGCTATGGCTGCTTTTTATCCTGAATTTACACCCACACCCACGCTGTACAAAGTCTGCTAGATAAATTGTAAAAAAAGAAAAGTAGCTGTTCATTTGTAAAATTCTTTACAAATATTGATTGAAATAAATTTTTTCGAATTAATACTAGAAAAAAAAACAAAAATCTTCTTACATCATCAGTAATCATTTTATTTGAATCAAATTTAATTGTAGTTAATTGTGTTAATAAACTCATTTGTTTAAATGCAAATCCTGAAAGTTGACGAACTGATGACCACATTGATATTTGTTTTAAATTATTCAATCGTTTACATAAATTAGTCATATGTTTATCTGATAAATTACTCATATCATCCATCACTAAATTCTAAGAAGAAAAATAAAATCATTAATTTTAAATTTTCTATTTTGTTTTGTTTTTTTATTTACTTCAAGATCACGAAATGCTTCAGCCATAGCATCAAATCCAACTGATGTTAATTGTATACATCCACTAACATCTAAATGAGCTAATTTTCGACAACCTCGTCCATTTGTTATATGAAGAAAAGCTCGATCAGAAAATTGACGTGAATAAGCAATACTAAGAAATTGTAGAAAATGACAATGACGTGCAAGACTACGAAATGATTGATCTGTCACTTCTGTATGAGATAAATTTAAATAAAGTAATATATGACAACCAGTTGTTATGATTCTAATTGCTTCATCATTAACTGCTGAACATTCACTTAAATTTAAATCTTGTAAATTTTTACAACTACTAATACCTATTAAATAATTCATAGAAAAAATAAATAAATACAAAGATACAAGAATATATATTACCAACAAAAGTTAATCGACCAATACGAGAACATTGTCTTAAATTAAGATGTTGTAAATAAGGTCGAGCTCGTTGTATAAAACGCATAGCAAGTCGATCATCAAGTGCATCACTTGTTCGATGTAAATCAAGTTTTGACCAAAGCATAGATGATTGTGTTAACATTTTCCAATTTCGACATACTTGAGCACATCGAGCTAAATCCTCAACATCTAAATATGCAAGTATGCGAACAGCAGCTTCTCGTGTAAGAAGTGATAATTCATCACGTGCTTCACCATGACCTTAACACATTACAAAAGAAAAAAATAGCTTAATTTGTAACAATTAAAACTTACTAAGAAAACCATTAAATTGTTGATTTTCTTCACCTCGTTCAACACGATCAAAATAATCTCGTGTACGTCGTGCTTGTTGAGCAACAATATTCCATTCATTAAGAATAATTCGTAATTGATAAGTTTCAGCACAATGATTTATATGACATGCAGCTGCTTTTTGTCGTTCAAGACGATAAGTAACTATAATAGAAGAAAAAAAATATATATATATACATATATATATACATATACTTAAAAGAATATCAAATAATAACAAACCCCATAATGACCATTGTCGAAAATAAATATTTAATAATCGTACACGATAATATTCATTAGCAGCTTGTTCTCGTTTTTCTAACCATCGTTGTTGACCTAATCGTGTAAGATAATAACGAAGCCATGCTGAAAAAAGTTTTTGTTGAATATGATATTTATAATGTTCAATAGCTATTCGTATTTGTCTTTCATTTGGTTCTAATGTATCATCACAAACAGCAAAAACATAACTTAATGAACTTTCAATATTATATGGACGATTAATTGGTCGATAAATTTCAGGAATAAAATAATCCCAATTAAGATTAACTTTTGCTGTTGGTGATAATGAATGTAATTCAATAAGACAACTAATTAACCATGATATTGGATCATCTGGTTGACAAACAAGTAATGATGATATTAAAGCTTCATGGATTTCAGCAATACGTTGTGAACGTAGATAAAAACGAAGTGATGGTTCAAGTGTCAAAAATAGTTTCAGCAGTGAGGCCATCTCTTACTTTTTCTTTTCTTCTTCTTTTTTTTTTGTTATGACGACTGTTGAATTGTAGTCGAATTTACTATTTGCTTGTAAGAGACGTAAGAATGAAAGGGACAAAAAGAAAGAGAAAAACGAGAGAATTTTTTTTATTTCTTTATTATTTGATGTAAAAGAAAAAAGAAAAAAATCAAGAGAAATAAAAATGAAGAAAGCAAAAATGAATTAACATTATATTGACAGAATATAAAAATAATATTATGCTTTGTTATTGTTGTTGCTATTCAAACTATAGAAACGTACAACAAATTTAATGTAATAATGTCTTTTAGGTTAATTTAATCGATGTTCATAATGGAATCGTTTTAATAATAGTAGATTCTATATAAATTTGTTGTTATGATTTGAGTTCATGTTGAACTGTTGGTTGCTATGTGCGTGATAAACTAATCAATAAAGAAATTGTACACAAAAATCAATTGATTTTTGGATTTGCTTGATGTCTTTCTGCTTCTAAAGTCTGATCAATTTTGCTAAGCATAAGTTTGCTTGTTGCTGATGACGCTGGAATGGGACACATGTTCACCTTTTTGATAATTCATTTTCTTTTCCATATATTCAATTATTTCATCACATAGTTCATCATCATCTGTAGATAAGTTCTCCATCAGAAACAATTACGTTTCACTTCTATCACCTGTTCTCAAGTAAAATAAATTGCTCAATGATGATCGAACCCACTTGCATTCCTATGTTTTAATATAAATTAGCAGTTTCAAAAAGTAAAAATATTTTGTACTAACGAGGTCTCATTAATTGCCGGGTCGGATACGGAAATGAGATCACACTCGACATCCGAATTGACCCAACGAGTTTGCTCCCAAATGCATGCTCACGGTCGGACAGTTCGCAGAACATTCATTTGATATATGCATTAAAAAAAGACTGTGATTTAAGTGATTAGTAAAACAATATACAAATGATCAGTTTATTGTATATAACTAGAAATAAAAAAATACAATTTATACAGTAGGGTATAGGTTAGAGTCTGGCCGATTGGTTTCGAACTCCTATGGTTATCGTGCTGAACTACACTTTCATGAAAAATAACTTTTACCTCTATCCACAGGATATAACAGATAAATACTTGCTCTACATTGAGGTCCATGACACTTGGCTTTCTTGCATCTCTAATAAACTCTTCTTGCATTTTCTGCATAGTTCGTATAACGTTTCCTTCGTTCATTTCCCATTGATGCTTCTGTTCCATCAAAATTATCAAATGTAGTCTTATCAATCGAATATTTTAATTAATTTTTTCCGTGAGATTTTTCATTTCCATTGATTTCATCATTTTCTTTCTAGTGGCGGAACCAGGATTTTTTGGTATGCTGTAGCTCAGCTTTAGA